AAAAAACCAAAAATACATGAAATAGCAAAAAAATGCTTGCAGGTATTACACAGCCATGACCCTTTCAGTCTCCCTTTGGATAGTGAAGGATGAGCATTGAATTTAAACTAGGATTCTTTGAGCTAATAAAGGCAGGGAGATGTTGCAATCACCTGAAAATGATACGGATTTGTTTTTAAAGAAAGATGGCAACTGCTTGCTTGCTTGTTTGGAGGGATACTGTTGTAAACTACTTTGCCCGGGAGTGGTTATTTTGCATTTTTTTGCTGTAACCCACCCAAGGAACTTTATGGTGAATGGGGCAGGTTAGAAATTTAATAGAGAGAGAGAGAGAGAGAGAGAGAGAGAGAGAGAGAGAGAGAGAGAGATAAGTGAATGGCCCCGCAGAGGGAGCCCAAGCTTCCAAATTTGGCCCATGGTCCAGGGGTGCCCCATTCCCAGACATCCTCATTGCTGTGATTGCAATTAAAAAGCAACTTTCCCAGAGCCAACAATGCAAGAACACTAGTTTTGTCACAAGAGGGCCTTCCCTATCGCATCCCAGCTTCTTTGTGCTTGTGCAGGCCCATTAAAATACCCCTTTTCTCCCCACACCTGACTGTGTCCTTTCCTCACAAGCCAAGACTCAAGAGCTGCTCTTCTCTTTGTAACATGGTTTACTATTTATTAAATACACACACACACACACACCATTGCCTTAGCCCATGATGACAGGCTGAACTTGAGGATCAGGAGTTGCTTACTTTTTCTGCATATATAAGAAGATAAAATCTGTGTAAATCACAGTCCATGCCCCATTTGTTTGCCTTTGGGAAAGATCTGGGACATATCTCTCCTTCTTTTTCTTTCTTAGGATATACTAAAAGAAGCAGAAGCAGAAGGAAATACATCAAAGTATTTTTTTTTCTTCACCACCATTCCTTCCTAGCCCTGAATTCCTACAGCAAATGCAACCATTTCCAGATGTAAAGCTAGCTCTGTCGCTGAAGGAAAAGCAGTCTTCTGGCATTGTAAAGGGTGAATCCCTTTATTATGGCGTAACTGGTGCTGACGCTGTTCAAGTGAGTTCGATTCTACAAGCACATTAAGAGCCACACAACTCTCTTTGTCGTCACAGAAAATCCATTGTTTGAACATTCTTAAAATGTTAGCCCCAGAACATAGAGGGCCAAAAATAGACAGACAGACAGACAGACAAAAGGCGACTGTGACGTTCATTTCCCATTCACATCTCCAGAAGCCAGTGCAGAGCAGCTATTATGACAGTGTAACAGCACACAGGAGGCAGGCAAGAAGCTTCAGCAGCAAGTGGGTGGGAAGAAGCACTCTGGCAATTATTCATGGTATAAAGAATGTGCAAGCCAGGGGTGGGCAGCCTGTGACCCCCTGGATGTTCAACCCCACCCTCCCCTATTGGTTATGCTGGCAAAGGTTGATATGCCAAAACTTCTTCAGGGCCCACCTTGTCCGCTGCTAGTGTAAGAGTGCCTCCATTTTAATTTGTAGTGCTGGATCGTGAATATTTGAATTAAGAGTGCACAGGTCATTGGAGACGCTGGGCTGGTGTTATTGGAGGAAAGGCATTCCTCATTAGCTGGTAATGTGTATTATTTCCCTTGTGGCTACATTTGGTAAACCAGCCCTGCTGCTTTTGGGACCTCCCTGCTCGTTCTGCTCAATGTGACCCTGAGCTTCTGCCCCAAACACGGCACCTTGTCTGAATAGGCAGGTGGAATTTCCACTGTGACTCAGAAAGCTCAGGCATTATACCGGCTTTGTAATGAGACTGCAAATTGGTTGTAGTTCTGTTCTCCCTGCATAAATTATATGCATGTAGGGCAGATAATTTGTAATGTGCTTTGCAAATCTGTGTTCATCTCACTGCAGCTTCACAAGCACATTTTGCTCTTCTTTTTCGAAGATGAAGAACTCCTTGGAAGCAAGAAAATGCCACTGAATTCAGTGAAGCTTCCTTCTAAACAAACACACACAAGGATTGGGCTGAATCAGGGCTTGGCCAAGGCCAGCCATCAAAGCCATGGCAGAAGTGCTTAAGTTTAGGAACGTAAGATGAACCTTGCTAGATCAATCCAAAACCCGATCTGTTTGCACAATGGCCTATCTGATGCCTATGGAAGCCTCCTATAAGTGCAGTAACACCCAATAAATGTTCTCCTGCAACTGGCATAAGAAGGCACGGGGCCTCTGATATTGGGGATATAATACATAGCTGTCACAATGAAGATTCATTGACAGCATTAAGCATTTCCTTTGGTGGGAAGGTGGGTATCTAAATTCAATAAATAGGTTGTTTATTATTAAGTTATTATTAAGTTATAAGAACCCCAACAAATAATGTGGGGGTTCCTCCAGACGGAAGCCTTCTAACACTAAATATTTGAAGGCATTGTGTTAGTCTTTGCTTTTTTCTGCCTCAACAGAATTTTAGCAGTAAAAGTGGAGGGCAGGGGGCAGTTACAGGAAAACATGGCAGGAGAGTTCCAAGCAGAAGACATCAATAGACAAATCCATGAATGAGCAAGAGCTGGTGGCACAATAAAAGCTTCAGCTGGAACTGCTCTTAACAGTGCAATCCTGTTGCATGCAGAGGCAGAGGTATGACGCAGTCTGCTAGGGTTGAACCCCTGCATCATTAATTTGAAGCCCCTCATCTTTGGGAAGCCACCTGCTCCACCACCCTCCTGGTCATGAAAACTTGATGAACTAGAGATGCAGAGGCCTTGTGGATCTCCCTTGGTTTGATTCCTCTGGCTTAGCTGGCTTTTTGCCCACCTGTGATTCTCCTCCTCCTTCAAATGTTCTCTCTCCTCCCCTCCCCTCCCATTTTTTTTCCCCTGAATAGGGGTGTCTTAGGGAGACAGCACCTTTTACACACACACAGAATAGGCAAATTAGCATATGCATTTTTGCTTGTTGTTTGGTCCTTAGCCACGGATCTTTATCTAGCCCTGCTCCATCACACTGCTTTGAAGTAAACCTCATTGAGCTGAGCGAACCTGGACGGGGATTCCTGTACAGTTAAGTGTAAAAGTAAGTGCAACTCAAGACAGCATTTTATTGAGCTAGCCACTCAAGTTCAAAACCACCAAAGGTTCTGTTCTCATCAACATGTATATGGAGTCGGGATTAATATTATTATTTCGCCCCAACGTGCATCTCTACAAATTTGCTCACAGTGACCCACTTTTGCCATTTTAATCCCGCGGCTTGTAGGGGCCTTTTGGGCCTTCCCCGGAGAGCTACTTGGTTTTCGGTGGTCCTCCCGAGCTGTGCCCAACGGCATGCTCTGAAGAAATGGGTTAATGCGTGGGAATTTTTCCTTTTAAAGGAAGGAAAAGAAGAGTGGCGAAGAAGAGGAAAAAGCTCCCCCGGGCTCGGTTTCACCCTGTAGGAACAATAGACAATAAAGCGCCAGCAGCCGCCCTAGTAAATGCCAAGCGGCTTTCTTCGCTACGCTACACATTAACTCCGGCCCACGCTTCTCCCTAATGACAAGCCGGCTCCTTCTTCCACAATGTTTGCCCGGAGGGCATGAAGAATAAAACCTGCAACTCTTGGGCCATCCGGCGCGCGCTCCTTGCTGACTTTTTAAGGTCAGCGGCGCGATCGGCCTTTGAAACATTTCCTGCCTCTTTTAGTAACTGCAGGATTTCTGTGCGCGCGCGCGCGCGAACGCGCGTTGTTTGTTGAAGCAGCACGTGCGGGTCTCTCTTTCTCTTTCAACCGGTTCGCCCACGTCAAGTTCAAGGAAAGGTTCTCCTCATGCTCGCAAAACGCTTCTCCATCCTATTAAGGAGGGCGCTGCGAGGAGAGCCAAGAGACATGGAAGGTACAGGCCGCCCCACCAGAAGTTCAGCCCGAGCCCCAGAAGGAAGCGCTCGGCGGCGAAGTGCCCTTCCCGAGCGCGTCTGGGGAGTGCAAACATGGGCGAGCCGAGAGGGCGTCTTTTGTTCCTCCTCTAATTGGACCATTTGTTGTGTAATCGCCGGGCTGCTCTGCGTGAGCTTTTAACAGAAGGAAACTCGAGCCCCAGACGCGCGGCTGTGCCTTCTCCTCGACCGCTTCCCTCCCGCCACCCCCTTGCCTCCTTCCTCCCGCTGAGCTGCTGTTGCTGCTTGTTTGCACTCGGCTTATCCGGAGCGGAAATTCCTTTCCGTTTTTGTGAATGACAAACTCATTAACAATTCATCAACACAACCTGTTCCAGCCGGCCCGTCTCCACGGCAACAGCCTCTTCCGCGAGCGCTGATTGGCCGGGCGAGAGAATGTATCCATTGAGACGTTCCGTGTTTGTATCCATTGAGGAACTGCCTGGCGCTGGGCGGGGGGAGTGTGCAAGGCTGATTAAAAGGGACATTGATTACATCAAGGGGACTTGGGAGAAAGTGGTGGAGGAAGAAAAGAAGGGAAGGAGGCGGCGGCGGCGGCTGGGGGGCGGGAAGCACGCTGTGAGAAGCAGGAGCTCCGGTGACGAAACGCTGCACGCAGGAGAGACGGAGAGCACGAGATAACACGAGAGGCCAATGCAGGGTCTCTCCCGAGCTATCTATATTTTAATGCATTTCTCTTTGTCGTGCAGCGGCAAGGCATCCGAGCACATTTAATTTGATTTCATGCCTCTGTGCCTGGACTCGAGCGATGAGGAAGTTTCTTTCAGGGATCCGCTGACACGCACACGCACGCACACAAACACACACACATTTTAAAGAAAAGTCCTGAGAGCTGGAGAGCGCTCTCGGCTTGCAACGCCCGGATGCACTGACGGGTGGCTGTGCTTGCTTTGGCTCGCTCGCCTCGCGCGCTGTCGCTGCGAGTTAACCGGGAGAAGGGGAAGAGGGGGCTTAGTTAGGAGGACGGATTTAACCTAGTTTCCAGCTGCTGCAGCAGCGCCGGGCCAGGTGGAGTGGGCGGGGGTGCGCGCTGCTTCTCCGCTTCCTTCCCCTCTCCTCTCCTTGTGGCCCTTCCGAGAGGGGCGGTTTCTCGGAGCCCCCCCACTGGTCTCCCTCCGCCTTCCCTCATGCTAGATACGCTCAGGCCCCCCGTGCCTCCTTTCGTGTCGGACATGGCAGGAGGAGGGATCAGCAAGACGGTGGCGTGGCTGCACGAGCAGCTGGAGCTGGGCAACGAGCGCCTGCTGCTGATGGACTGCCGCCCGCAGGAGCTGTACGAGTCGTCGCACATCGAGTCGGCCATCAACGTGGCCCTGCCGGGCATCATGCTGCGCCGGCTGCAGAAGGGCAATCTGCCCCTGCGCGCCCTCTTCGCCAGCGGCGGCGAAGAGGAGCGCGAGAAGTTCGCCCGCCGGTGCGGCACCGACACCGTCGTCCTCTACGACGAGAGCAGCAGCGACTGGAACGAGAACACGGCCGGCGACTCCGTCCTGGGGCTGCTCCTCAAGCGCTTGAAAGACGACGGCTGCAAGGCCTTCTTCCTGGAAGGTGAGGGGTTAACGAGATCGCCTCGGCCACGAGCCAGCCCGGGAGGGAAACGCAGGCCGGGATCCCGGGGATCCTTCTTGCGCGCGCGCGCTTCCGCCCCTCCTAGTGCAGACCAGGGTCTTTCCCCCCTCCGCCCACCCTTTCCCCTGAGCGCCCAGGGAGCGTCTAGACTCCAGCCTCCTCCGTCTGAGCCCACGACGTCCTCCCCTCCTATTGTACGGGACTGAGCGTTGCCAGATGGCCCCGGATTTGTAAGGGCGGCGCGCGTGCTCTGGGGGGGGGGTAGGGTTTTTTCATTATAGAATCAGAAAACGTGCCCTCTTCCCAGTCCAGCTCCCTCGCTCTCCTTTCGAAATGCTGCCATTGAAATTCACTGGATGGACAGGCAGAAACTGCCGCTTAGGTAGCTTACTGCTGTATGTATGGGAAATACCCCTTGCCGCCCCGCCCCGCCCCCACACACTTTGGGAGAATCCTGCTGCGGCAAACCATCAGAACAGGTGTCTTTAAACATCGGCATTCCAATGGGGGAGACAGTCCCAACCTGGGAGCCTCTTCTTTCAACTTTGATCTCCCTGCCTCCCACATATGTGGTGCCCTCAGGGAAGGCCTTTGATCAGGCGTCCAGGGCTCATGCACCCTAATGCACTAAGGAGTTGCTTTCAGCACTTCTGAAGTAAGCAATTACCTTCTAAAAGGGATACCCCAGAAGACCATTAAGTCAAAAATGTCCTAAGTGCAGCACTGCCAAATAGTCTCTCTCTCTTCTCAAGCTTGGGGTGGGGGAGATGGATTGGAGAAGCCCCCTCCTGCCTTTAGCCCTAGGCATAACCTTGAGAATGCCTCTAAAGTTACCAGCTCAAAATGTCCAATACAGGGACACTGTACTGTCCCACTATGTATATTGTTTGGTGTAAGACATTTCTTTCAATGGTGGGGAGTTCTAAAGGACAGCCGATCATCCATTCTATTACCTCCTGTCACCCTTTGTTTGGAATCCCAGGGGCTCTTGTGAAATCTAAACTCTTGGAGAGAAAGTGGAAAGGGTGAGGACTAACCCTTTCCTTCAGTCAGTGGGCTGAATAAAGAAGAACAAGAAGAGGAAGGGCACCTCCAGGTTTTAAGCTTATCTTGTAATTTCCTTAGAGTAGAATTTGAAATAGGTAAACTGTTGTATTGGTTAGACAGCCCAAATAATTGGGACCAGAGGAAGAAAACCTAAATGAGGATGATGGTTGTTGATGGTAAATATTTACACACACAAAAGATGCAATCTTACACATGTTGAGACAGAAAAAAGGTCTACAGTTTCTGCATGTTGGGAGTTGTAGGCCTTTTTGTCTAATATTGCACAGAATTGCCCCTGAAACAATTGGCAGTTCCTGCCCTAACAATACTTCTGCTGCCCGGTTGTCCACTATATCACCCTGCCTGATCTAGTTCTGCTATTGCATCAGCTGTATTCACGGGGTTGCCTGCTTTCCCTTTAAATAGAATTCCTCTTACCAAGAAGAGATAAATGAAGACCCATCCTTTAATTCTAACTATCTCTCTTCTGCCTAACCTCATGACTGCCTGTTAATCAAGTAACTCTTCCCCTGTTCTATTGAACTCCACAGGAGTAAAGATGACTGCTTCAAAGCATCTGCTATTTATATTTTAATCTTAATCTGATCTTAATGCTAGAAGGGAGTCCACTTTTTGAAACCAGACTAGCTCGTATCCAATTTTCTTTCTACTGACTCCAATACATTTCCGGTTCTGTCTCTATAAGACTTCTGGTGGGGGAGCAGGGGGAAAGTGGGGCATCAGAAATGATCTGCCATCCAAACTGTTTCTTTCTGCTTTTCTTCCCAGGTGGTTTCAGCAAGTTTCAGGCAGAGCATGCCCTGCATTGTGAAACTAACCTAGACAGCTCGTGTAGCAGCAGCTCTCCTCTTTTGCCAGTCCTGGGGTTAGGTGGCCTTCGAATCAGCTCCGACTCCTCTTCAGACATTGAATCTGACATTGACAGAGATCCTAACAGTGCCACCGACTCTGACGGCAGCCCCTTGTCCAACAACCAGCCTTCCTTCCCAGTGGAGATCTTGCCATACCTCTACCTGGGCTGTGCCAAGGATTCCACTAACTTGGACGTTCTAGAAGAGTTTGGCATTAAATACATCTTGAACGTCACTCCCAACCTGCCTAATCTCTTTGAGAATGCCGGCGAGTTTAAATACAAGCAGATCCCCATCTCTGACCACTGGAGCCAGAACTTGTCTCAGTTCTTTCCTGAGGCCATCTCTTTTATAGGTGAGACTTAGTTAATAATAACTACAAAAGGAAAGCCTGATGTATCTCACCAATAGCATGGTAATGTGATTAGCAGTGCCTCTTGCATGGGCAGCTTCATATGTAGGGGCTGCCTTTCAGAGGCCTTTGAGATTTAAGATGCAGAGAGGTTATGGCTGTTCCCAGGTTTTACCCATATCCCATGGCATAGTTTAAATGGTACAATTTTAGCCATTTATCTGTAGGCTGCTGCAGTACTAGCAGAAGTTTGTTCATCAGCTGTGGAAATGATTTTTGGTCTAGGAAGACGGTCTTTTGAAAGAATATAAAAAGGATGGTCTTTTTGTGAGGAGATTGCAATAAGATGTGGAGAAATCTTCCTATTCCCTTTCAGAGAAACTGCCCTGTGAGAGCAGAATTGTGCCCTCCACCAGAAAAATACTAATCATATATCCATGGCTGCTTCTTGTGGGTTGTAGCCAACCTTAGTCCTACCTTGAGGAGACCCACTTTAACTTTGAATAAGCTTGGATATATCTCATATGCTTTAATTATATATTTATATTCCCACACACCCCACATTGATTGGGCCTGATACCTCATCCTAGTTAGTGATGTACTTTTTGCTAATTGCAGAAGCCCCATTTCACCTAAAAAATGGAGCTTATTTCTTAAATAATGTTTTGCAAATGCATTGGATTAGTCTTACCCTTTTCTTAGCATTAGTTGTTTCAACATACAGCTTTATATTTAATATTATTCTGATTTAGGGACCTATTCATTTTGATGGTTCTATGTTAAAAAGGATTAACACTGGGTATAGCCTATGAAGAGTACTCGTGTGTAAATTTAGCCCTCGACTGTCTCTTCTCTCTTTGAAGAATGATTCAATTGCACCTTTTTCTCATTTTGGGAGAACCATTGTGTTATCTGACAATGAATGCTCTGCTGTAATCTGATTGAGTGATACTAGTAACAGGGCAGAATGCAGGTAATCTGAGCCCAGCAAGAAGGAACTGTGGACCGAGAGCCACAAAGAAACTAATCTCCAGGCATTATAATGTATTTCCTATTACAAAGGAACCCATTTTCTAGCAATGTTGACATCCTGTTTCTCTTAATGGGCTGTCCCCTGTGACTTCTCTTTTTCTCTTAAAACGGCTGAATACCTCCATTGTTCTGCTGTGCTGCACAACAGTTGGAGAATAATTTAATAGACCTTTGCAATCTGCAAATGGTGACATCCTAGGGCTTTCCCACTTAGTCCCATGCTAGGGAAAGCATACATAGAATTCTCTCTCTCTCTGGCTGTTTATACTATACACTGTTGTAGCATCTTGGAAAAACTGTGGGTCCTTTTGTCTGCAGGGCTGCACTGTAAGCTGCTTCTCTGTCTGACCAAGCAAACAAGTGGCTTCCTATCTGGGATTGTGCTGCAATAAGCCACCTCTGTGGTGCTGCCCCTGCTCTAACAGCCTTTTTCCTGCCACAGACTAGCAGGGATACCATTCTGGAATGTACTTAAGTAAAATTTTTGTAGCCAACTTATAATCAGCCAGCTTGACAAGCAGCATCTTGTGGTGTGCCTGCTGTAGTTTCTTAAGAGAGCAGGTGTGAAATTGCACACTGAAATACTCCCAGATGACTAAAGAGGCCCCCTGCATTTAGAAAATGGGCATGCCAGGCAGAAAGCTAGGCTAGAACCCACCAAGCTCACTTTTCTGTATGCAGGAAACCTGAATGCCTCTCTCACAGACAACAATGACATTGTCAGGGAGAATGTTTGAGTCTTCTGGGAGGGTGTGTTTTTAGTCATAGGAGCATACCCAAATGGGTAAGCCAACACATAGTGGCTTACCCACAATGTATGGACTAGCCAAGGGTGTAGCATATTGCCTAACAATGCAAGCCTGCACAGGGCTACTTGGAAGTAAGTTCCAGTGTCAGTCAAGTGTACATAGAATTGCATCTTAAGTCACTTTTATCTCCTGGGGTGCATAAAGAAATGTATATTAGTCTGAAATACCAGAATTGCCAGACTGTCGGTTTTGTTTTTTAAATTATTTAACTATGAAAACGCTTAGTAGTAAGATCTGTGGTGGCAGAGAACCTAATGGGCAGCAAGTGTTGGCTATGCTGAGCTCACATTGGTGACCAGGGCATGACTGGGGAGACCCAGTCAATGGTATTTCACCCAGTTCTCTCAACATGTGTGCCTTTGTACTCAGCTGGAGAAATGTCTTTTGTGTATCTTATGGACTCTCGACTTTGTCCCATTTTCTTGACAGATGAAGCTCGTGGGAAGAATTGTGGGGTCCTTGTGCATTGCCTGGCAGGGATCAGCCGCTCAGTCACCGTGACAGTTGCGTACCTGATGCAAAAGCTCAACCTATCCATGAACGATGCCTATGATATCGTCAAGATGAAGAAGTCTAATATCTCCCCCAACTTCAACTTCATGGGACAGCTGCTGGACTTTGAGAGGACTCTGGGTCTGAACAGCCCCTGTGACAACCGTGTACCTAGTCAGCAGCTGTATTTCACCACCCCTTCCAATCAAAATGTCTTCCAAGTGGACTCTCTGCAGTCCACGTGAACAGCAGCCCAGTTTCCAACTCTTCTAACCTTGGGTTTTGAGATCATTCCTCTATGCTCCTCTGACAGCAGCAAAGAAGCACAATTCTCTTTTGTGGGTGCTGCTTTATTGGGCAGTGGCTCCTGTGTGCTTAATGAAATAAAAGGTTACAAAGTTTGGAGTCAGCCATTGCAAAGGGAGGGGACTTACTGAGTTCTCAAGGAAGATGATGATGATGATGATGATGATGAAAAAGAAACTTCAGATGTTGCCTGTAGGTAGGCAGCATATTTTGCTTAATGCACAAAAACCCACCTATGCAGTGAACTTGGAATGGAGGACTTTCAAACACACTTGTTGTGGGGGAATGGACAAGATGAGCACATGTCCTCTAGTGGAACTGGGAGAAATGTATTACTTTTCATTTGTAATATGTGGTGTTGTCTTCAGTGAAGACTTAATGTTTTCTGTTGCCACCCCCCACACATATTTAGAGGAGCCAAAGAGAGGTTTCTGCTCAATGTATTGGATTATTTGTTTGCCAAGAGCTTTGTCACGCTTCAACCTGATCAATGTAAATATGATCTTGAATCAATAAGCGATGTTAGTGTAATAATAGGTACGAGAGGTCAATCTGAGGGATGTCATATTTCTTCACTCTTCAGCCGTTCTTTCCGTACAAAGGATACTTTTGCAGCATGCTTAATTTTACTGTTGAAATGAGGCAAACTTTCTTCCTTGGTTAGAAAATAAATGTCTATGCTCCGAGTTTAGTTTATTCACAAAATGTGAATAAAACTTAATAAACTCTTCTTTAGTGGTGATTTTTGGGGGTGTGCCATCAACATAGGGTCTTATTGTAACTTTTTTGGGGGGATACTTTTGTAAATAGTTTAGCTTGCTTTTTTTTCCTTTGGAAGAGAGTTATGTCTTCAAACAGAAGATTTTTTTTTGTCCAATTTGAAATAAGTATAAAGAATAAAAATATGTGCTAAGCAGTGCATTACCTCTGTACAATCTCTTCAGGGAGCTTCACCTCAAATGCAATATCTTGCATTTATTTTTGTACAAAACTGGAAGTGTGCGTGAGCATTGTGTACCTGTGAATATGCAAGAAGGTCTTGCACATGATTGTCCATAAGGGAGAGTCTTTAATTTGCCAGTGTAAAGTTGGGATTTTATTCTTAAGAATGTAAGATCATAAATTATTAATAAATAACTATTTTGGCTATTGAAAACCAGACTGCTTCATTTTCTGTATCCCTTAAACAGCAACAAAAAAGAATGGACACATTGCTATCCTGCGTCAGATTGTGTAGCTGGTGTGTATTTTGATCTTAAAACTCTTGCATTTCAATCCATTTGGCATGTGTATAAATATCACTTGTGCTTTTCCAGTTCCTGAGCTTTCATCTGTATGTGGCCTTCTTACCTGTGTTGTATTATTTTCAATAGGATGTGCAGCTGAGTGTATGTTGGACTGAAAGCAATGCAGTGTGTCTAGAGAGCCCACACCTGATGACATGGCTGAATTGTGCTTGTGGTTCCTGTTTCCACTAATGTACCCCATTTTTTGGACTGGGCTATTTTACATTCCCTTGTACCAATTTCAAATAATATGATAAGAAGTGTGCCAAGGCTAAGCTGCTAGCGGGAGAGAGGGCAAAGAATAGCCTTCC